GGGAGGAGCGCGGGGCCGCCCGCCCGCCGCGCTCCTCTCCCTGCCGCGGCCGCTGCCGCTGCTGCTGCTGCTGCTGGCGCGGCTGCCCGTGGCCGGCGCGGCGGCGGGGGCGCTGTCGGAGCTGCGGGTGCGCGTCCGGCTGCCCGACGGGCAGGTGACGGAGGAGACCCTCCAGGCGGACAGCGCGGCCGACTGCATCAGCCTGGAGCTGCGCAAGGGCGACGGCACCCTCGTCACCTTCACGGTGGACTTCAAGCAGGTGCGCGGGCGTGCGCGGGCTCGGGGTGCGGGGCAGAAGGGCGCAGGCTTCGCCGCGCGGCTGGGGGGCGCCCGGGAGTGCGGGGGGGGGGGCGGTAGGGTGGGTGGGAGGGAGGAAGGATGCGCGAGGCAATGCCCTGGGAAGGACGGGTCACGCCCTCCCCTCGCCCTCGCGCAGAGGTGCGCACCGCTTTCAGGCTGAGCAGTTTGCGCTCGGGAAGGAGCCGGGGTTGGGTGGCGGTTTCGTTTCAGGGCACCTTTCCGCCGCTGTCGTGGGGTGCGGAGGCCATCACGGGTGACCCCCGCATATTTGATCCGCAGAACAATCCTTAGAGGTAGTCTAGGCTACGCTAAAAAGTACTGGCTTGTCCGCAGTCTCCCCGTGGGCTTCGTAGGAGCGCCGAGAGCCGTGGCTTTAGAAGCTAGACGCAAAGTTTGGAATAGGAGCCTTTTAATTACTTCTCATTAGAAAAATTCTGGGGGGTGCTCGCGCATGGCGAAGGGGAGGGTTGCGCCGGGTTGCAGTTGCAACACTGCTTAAAACACACCAGCTTTGAAAGAGAGAACCAAAGGGCTGGACAAGGGTTAACAGCGATTGGAGCCAACAAGCTGAATAATTTCCTTAGGCGGGTTGAAGGCTTCCCCGCAACCTGATCTTTGCATCTCCTGGGAAGTAAGTCTCCCGGACTTAGGGTGCTTCCAGCAAAACTTTTTGCCTCACTTCCACGGGGAGTCCAGAAATAGTGGTCTTATGTTTCTCCCGTGTTCTGCCGCTTCTGCTTCCATCTTCTTGATTTTTCTTCCTTTTTGTGAAATATCCATTCAGGAAGGAAAGACAGAACAGCAGCACGATGGCTTTTGATTGCTATCACAAAGAGGAGCCCTTCTTCCTAAATTAGGGTGCAAAGGGTTGCATTCCAAACAGAAGGACTCCTCCCAAAAGTGCATGTACACCTTTTGATTTCTTATCCAGTGAGACAGGTCGAACTTTCCTTATATGCTCCTGCATTACTTTCTAGCACCATCCCCTTCTTACATCAGCTTCCAGACTTTAAAAGCCAGTTCAGACATTCTGGGGGGGGGGCAACCCACCACCCTACCAGCCCTGCTTCCCACATCGTGATGCTCCATTCACCCTGAGGAAGGGGCGGGGGGGGGCACCACCACTGTGAGAATTGCTCCAGAGCAGATTCTGCATGTAACTGCGATTCAGTAGGTCACAAGTCTTTTCAGGGCACAACTGCGCACAGAGCGGTGCCTGTAGAGCATGCCACTTGAACGCAACTTGTGTGCCTTGAGCAAATCTGGTTAGCCATGTATTTTCAGTGCTGCTTTAGTGTGTGCAGAACAGCAGCTGTGAATCATGTGGTGTGTAGTGCAATTTTTGCAAATCACACAAGTCGCTTTAAAGCTTCATTCCTTTCTGGTGCTGGTTTGTGTTCATTCTATTGGTGATTTGAAAATATATGGTCCAAAAATGGAAGTTCACAGAAGAGAAAAGAAAAACTCCATTTGATTCTGATGATCTGATTGGAATAAGCAGGAAATCCATTGATTTCAAACAAGCCAGACTCCTGTGTTTCCATGCATTCCTAGCAGGGACTGGACAGTTTCTATTTTATGCAGACTTTTTTTACCCTCTCATAATAACAGCTCTGGATCAACCAGCAGATTTGCTTGGCAGAAGATGAGGACACAGAAAAGAAAGGACTTTTTGCACAATGTATCGTTAACATGTGGAACTCATTGCCACAGGAGGTGCTGTTAGTCATGGACTATGAGAGTTAGAATTCATGGATGCATGAGGAGCTGTCGCTGACTAAAACATTTAAGTGGGAGCTCCTTGGTCAGAGAGCACCATGATGCTCAATAGCAGTGGTGGACAACTTCTTGGAGGGTTGCTTTGCCCACCCCGGCAGAAGCTCCGTCTCTTGTCCCTGCCCTCTGGAGCTGCTCCTTCCCCCTTTCTAAAAAGAAAAGTGCTGGCTTGCCACCAAATTTTGGTGACAGAGTAGGGAACAAAGCTTGTTTTGTGTTAAAATAGGACCTTACATCACCCAATGTCTCCAGTTTTTCCCTTTTTAATGGGGTTTTCCCGCCACCACTACCCTGTCCCCAGGCCAGGAAGGGCTCAGAAAGGACCACGGTAGGACCGCATGCAGTCCACAGGCCTCAGATTCCCTTTCCTGCTTTCCATCCTGCTTTTGCGGTTCCTGGAGCACGTGGCTGGCAGTCATGGCTAGGAAGAGAACTTCAGGACAGAAAAGATCCTTAGCTTGCTCCCAGGGGGTCCTTGAAGTGAGGCCATGAGCTGGACTGAAATGATGTGTGTTGCATGGATGCTCCTGTCTCCTGTCAGAAGCAGCCGCAACTCCCTGCTGGCAGCTTCGGACACATGGAGACGGCTTGGAAGGGAAGCCTGACCCTGAGCCCAGGGCTCCTGCAGAAGGCACCCCCCTGGAGGAGTCACTGCATAATCACTGACCCGGCCCCAAACAAACGGTCCCCTCTTGTGCTCCCGGTGTGGGAAACAAACGGCCCTTTCTGTGCCAAGGCCTTCCCCCGTCCTGATTAAACAGGGGCGCCTGGAGAGCCCCGTTCTTCGCTGGGCACTGTCTGGAACAGTCCCCACTGTATTTCCCCTGCCCTGCATTACACACAGGGATGGAGCAGATCAAAGAGGCCCCAGCCTGGGAACTCTGGATACTGATATCTTCTCATGGGGGGAGAGAAGCCCGCAGGGTGGGTGCATCCGTGTTTGGACAAGATCTTTATAGCTGTGATCTCTGGAAAGGGATGTACATATGTGAGGTGTGGGGAGGAGGCCATACAGTGCGCACGGCCCTCCACAAAGCCACTCACTGGCTCCCAAGCGAGGGCAGAGAGGAGCTGCTGCTTCGTGTGGCTCCAGGAACTCAAGGAGAAGGCTACCAATGGCTGCTGGAGGGGATGGAGATGCATTCCTTCCCAGATCTGTGTGCCTTTGCATGTTCCAGTTTCTGGGGGACTCAAGGGGTGGGTGTGTTGCATTCATGACTTGTTGGGGGCCTCCTACAAACTTCTGGTTGACCACTTCATGAACAGGTGGCTGGGCTTGGTCTGATCCGGCTCAGGGTGCCTCTTTTGCTTTCAACTGGCTCTGCGAGAGAAAAGGTTGCCAAACAGGCATGATGAGAGGAGGGACTCATTGTAAGATGAAGCAGGAAGGGAGACGGGGACCTGCAGGGTGTGCTTTGCACTGATAACTCAGGCAGCACCCATCAAAATGGTGTTTATCAGTGGCCTTCCCAGCAGTGCCTTCAACGGTTACCAAGAACACCAGCCACGGTGGATGAGCTTCCCTGACAGAGCAGCTTGCCCGTCCAGTGCCCATCTTCCTCTGCAGTGAGCGACAGCAGAGTATTCTCGGACATGTTCTGGCTAGGCTCCGTTTGCCCTGACAGCCCTCTGCTCCACGCACGTAATTCCACCTCATTCACAGAGCCCAGCGTCTGGGGGTCATTCAAAGGGAGTTTTGGTGGTAGGTCAAAGGAGAGGTGACCTTCCAACTGATTCAACTGGGTTTCTGGGGCTCCCAGCAGCTGCCTTCCCCCCAGGAGAGAGATTCAAGCATTGTTCTCAAGTCGGTCAGAGCAAGTGCAGTGCCTAATTGAATGAGAAGCAATAAGAGCCACTGGGAGTCTTGAGAGTGTGGCCGTTTCTGGGCCCACAAGGCAGTGAGTTTGGAGGAAAGAAGACTGGGGGCCCAAGAAACTTCTCCCCCGTGCAGGCACAACCATGAGTGAGCCCAGCAAGTTTGCTCAGCACCTTCCATAGACTGAGGGTGAGTCCAAAAGCAGGTTCCAAAATTCCCTGCATGCACACCCACACCATGGCTCCCTGGCAGAAAAGCTGACATGCAAAAGGCTGAGATTAGAAGGTAAGGAGATGGCTTTATTCCAAGCCAAGCTGGTGGTCCACTTAGCTCAGTAGTGGCTGGCAGTAGCCTTCTGGCTGGTCCTTCTCAAGTTTTCCTTTCAATGCCAGGGCCTTCTGTATTTAAGCTGAGGCCTTCTGTGGGCAAAGCTGAGGTCCCGCCACTGAACTGAGGCTTTTTTCTGAAAGACCATTTGAAAAAAACTGCTAGAAAGAGAGAGAGAGAGCGAGGGAGGGAGAGAGCAAGAGCGTGGGCAATCCAGCGGCCTCTGCTTTCCAGACCCTTCCTGCCTAGCGTCGTCTTTCGTGATACTGTCTTGCAAACGTCTTTCGTGATACTGTCTTACTGGAGGGGATCAGTTGCAGTCCTTTGAGCAAACAATAAATTGCAACTTTCTTGCTTGATTGTGGCAATCAAAGGATTGTCGGCTGTGAACGGTGTTGCACTTGGGCCAAAGTCCAGGGTTGTGCAGCCCAGCTCTCTCCCACCCCCAGATCCACCCACAGAGCAAGAAGTGATGATGGCAGTGGAAACAATCTCCCATTTCATTTTTATCGTCTTGATGGTGGCGTAATTGCAGGCTTTTCTCTGCAGGATGTTTAGTGTGCAGCCATGATTCCCTGCTCGTGGATGCTTACAGGGTTTTTAGAAAACATTCCGATCCTCCAGTTTTGCTTCTGTGTCATTTTGGGTGAGGTTTTTAGAGCATAGAAACTGAGGCACTTAATTGTGAAAGTGGAAACAAGTGTGCTTTCCTCTTATGTATTTGCAGTATGCCGCTCTACCACACTGCCACCTAGAGGTTCTATAGTGCAAAAACAAACACTTCTCATGTACTGCTTGCATCTCGGTTCTGCAAGTGTTAGATTCAGCAGCCTGAATTTAGATACAGCAGATCGATGTCCAATTAACAGCCTTGTGTGGAAAAAGTTAATGTTTTTAAGAGGTGAAAATGAAACTTTGCACATGCTCAGTGGCTCTTTTATCAGGGCCAGCAAACAGATTTGTTGCAGTGGCTGCTATAACAGGAATTGTAAACATGATAGGAGGAGGAGGAGGAGTGTTGGGAATGTGTGAGATAAAGG